TACCTTGAGGCACACCACATCGAACGGGAAGCCAATCAGAGAGTTTGCAATTATATTTAACTCTTTGCTGTCGCTCGGTCAAGTATGACTGTACGAATCTGAGGGCATCATCATTCAAACCATAAGCACGCAACTTGGCTAGGAGTAGGTTGTGACACACAGAGTCAAATGCTTTGGAAAGGTCAATGGCAATAGTTCCAGTGACTTTCTTAGAATCCAGGGCTAGTCTCCAGTCGTCAACCATTTTTAGAAGAGCAGTGAAACATGAGTGCCCACTTAAGAATCCAGACATATTGAGAGAGAAGTGGGTCTTGAAAGTATCATAGAGCTGATCATACATAACTTTCTCAAGAATCTTGGGAATGGACGACAAGATACTGATTGGTCTGTAGTTTTCCACAAGAGAGCTATCATCCTTTTTATAGACTGGAGTAACATTACTTAATTTCCATTCCTGTGGCCACGTTGAGTTAGTAAGGCTGTAATTAAGGAGCTTAGTCAGAGGCCCTTTGATTGTTGATGCAGATAGCTTAAGAATCATGGGAGTGATATTGTCAGGTCCACAAGACTTGTTTGTTTTAAGGCCAGTGAGCAATTTACCAATGTATTCCGTACTGACAGGTTGAAATGAAAAACCAAGATTGAAATTGCGCAACGAGATTGAAGTCACACCTGGATGGTGTTCGAAATCTTCAACAGACTTAGTCAAAACAGCTCGATCAAGAACAGGTGAAGAGAAGTGTTCATTGAAAAGATTGGATGGATCACTTACAACTGCATCCCTATCCATTATGCATGTGCCATCGCTGTTATCTTGTCCAGAAGACGGTAGAAGAGGCTTTACCCGCTTCCAAAAATCTCCAGGAGTTGTTGTGTTAGCCGAAGAGTCCAAAAAGAACCGTTTAATAGATATTCGCTTAAGTTTGGTAACTAAGTTCCTTTGTACTCTATAACTTTCCCAAGTTTCGTCATTCCGACTAAGGCGATATTTGCGGTATAGTTTGTTTCTCAGTCGAATTGCTCTTTTTATTTGGACATTGATCCACGGAAGTTGGTTTGCGTGAACCCTTTTTTTCACAATAGGCGCATGTTTGTCTATTATGTCTTTGTAGAGCTTTGACCAGTGGTTCCAGACATCATTAATATCGTCATAAACAAAGGCACTGTCCCATGGAGCAGTAGATAAATCACAACAAAAAGAGGCTTGATTAAATTTCTTCATACTTCTGGACTCAATCGTTTGCACTTTCGATTTCGGTAGGCGTAGTTTTCTCACAATGTATACAAGATCGTGATCACTTATTCCAAGTTTCAGCGTGCCACTCTTTGTCCATCGCTCAGTTCGATTAACTAGGATCACATCAATTAGGGTTTCACTTGTGTTAGTAACCCTTGTTGGTTCAGTTATTGTATTTGAGAGACAATAGCGATCACAGAAATCAGCCAAAGGATTATTCGTATTATGCAAATTCCCATCAACATAGTCCATCATATCAATATTAAAATCTCCAATAAATACAATTTCATTCCTGATTTTTAGCATGTTTTCTGCAGCAGTAGAACAGGCAGAGATGAAGTCAGTGACTTTACACTTACTTGGAGAGCGATAACGAAAAACCATGTATTTGTATTCCCCTTTACGTTGAGGCAAATAGATTCTACACCAGTTGGTTCAAGCTTGAGTTGTCTTCTCGCAGTTAAAGAATTGTGAATATAAGCTAATAGACCACCGGCACCCCTTTTTCTATCATTCCTGATGACATGGTAATGTGGGTTGGATAATAACCTTGCGGAAACAGACTTGTCAATCTTCGTTTCAGAGATAAAGAGAATGTCAAAACGGCATTCGTTTAGTAGATCCAAAATCTCATCTATTTTGCCAATGATACTGTTTGTGTTAAGGTGGCCAATCGAGAGATTTTTCTTGTAATAGCCTTTAATATTTTCTTTATACCATTCGACTGGAGTGGGCGACTTGGACTACTTGCAATCTAGTTGTCAAGTACCATTTTACCCAGTCAGGTACTATACCGGCTAGACTATGGAATTTTTTTTTTTTAAAGAATAGAGTGATCAATTGTGTCAAAAGCCTCTGATAAGTCCAAAAAGACACCTGGAAAGAAATTTGTGTTATCAATCGCATTTGCTGTTTTGTTGATGAGACTTATCAATACACGTGAGGTAAAGTGTTTCTCTCGAAACCCAAACTGGTTGTTAGACAAGATCATATTTTCAGTTGGGTACCTTGAGATACGATATATGTTATACGTATTATATGTGGCAGTAGGGTTTCAGAAGTAACTTTCATCTTATATCGTCAGTGAATAACTAGGGATATTATTAATAACTCAAATTCAATAATTTCAAATAGAAATATTAATTCAAATACAGAGGAGAACTGCCTACCTAAAAATTCTCAACCGTCAAAGCTGTCCTCCCAGGGAAACCCTCATAGTAACTCTACATTATGAAAATAAGACAAAAATACCAAAAGGTTAATTTTCATTTTGATTGAAACTAACCGCTCTCCGCAGTCCTTCATTATTCGATTGAGGTATTTAAAACACAAGTACCAATACAAATAATTGTTTTCGTCTAACCATTTTTTGAAACGTGCGAAGAGAAAAAAATCTACGGTTCATTTTATGGCTATCCGTAGCTTTGATATTATGTAATCATACATGTACGATCACCTAGGAGGCTTGTGAATGAATAAATCTATCTTATCTCTTACCTTATCTGAAATAATTTCATTGAAACCACTTTATAAATTACAACCTTTTAATTTTATTAATAATCCTCTTCTGTTTTTTGGTCTCATTTTATGGGTCTGCATGGTAGTATTAACCAAGTTTTCTTTTGCCACGAGGTAATATTAAGGTATTCAAAGAAAAAAAAAAGGTTAGTGGCGATTTATATGATATTATAACCAACACATTTATGTACTTCCGCTGCAAAAGACCAAAACATCTTAATAATCATGAAATTTCTGGAATACCTACGTACAAAAAGGTTTGGTCAATTTAACTCCGCATAAACCTATTCTTTAATTATTTTTGAAACAAAAGGTCACGGTTTATAAATGTCAACAAAGTTTACACAAAGCTGCGCTTTAAACTATTTATATTTTTTGTATTGTTTATACTGGAAAGACAATTACGTGTTTCAATTAAGTAACCCACTAATAAAAAAATAGCAATGGAATGGTCAGACTTGTTAACATATTAATTGCTTTTCAGCTTAGTTAACCCAATATATCGTTCTAACACACTTTAATCCACACCGCTGCTCGGTAATGTAGTTACAAAAGGCTACATTTTCACGGCTTCCCACTCTTCCATTTTCGGTTCTTATGACAATATTCATAGAATATGACAGAGTTTGCTTGACTTCGAATTTTACAAATGTATATTAAATTCAGCATAGGAAATATATTTCCTGCATATCGAACTCTTATACTCTTTATCAAAATTAATAAGGATGATCGGATATCGTCACATTTTGAGGGTTTTTCCTCTTCCTTCACAAACATGATGACGTCTGCCCGAGGTACCCGAAAAAAGATTGGATACTTGAAGCAAATTCTTACCTTTAGATGTCTCTTGGTTACAGCACTTCTCTGCATTAAATTGCTCTCGCTTTCGCTTCTATAGGCGATATTCATGCATTAACCTCTACTGAATATCGTCTATGTGTATAGAAGGATACTTCCGCGAGCATCGATGGAAACATGTTATCGAAACACTCTTTGTAGTTAAGGAAACAAAACAATACTTGTGGTTTGCTAGGAATGTCTTCGACTCAAGATATGTGCTCCGCGGTTCAAGCCATAAGTGATCACCCATAAAGTTAGCCCAAATAAGAAACCAATTTAAAAAGTGATAATTTCTATATAAAGATAAGCTCCAAATAGTTCAGCTGGTGTTGTTCAGATCGCGGTAAATCTGAAAGTCTGAACGTCTTTATCCCTATCCTGAGTTACATGGTCTCTTGTACTGAGCCTGAAAATTTTATTTTCTCTAGAATGGTAAATTTTTGTTTGATATTGTGGGGGATCGGATTTCCCTATCAATATTGAAAACCACAAACGATGATTTCAAATTCTTCTTGACTTCTCCTATGTAATATAAGTGTACGAGGGCCTGGAGGGAATCAGTTCTCCTTGTTTTCCACCGAAGACGTGATCTCCAGTGAAAAACCTGCTGCTTAAAAATGGATTCCAAAATATTCATATTTCTCTATCTATTGGTTATTGTGGGGCAGCTTTCATGTGCTCCTTTTCCTACCGGCGAGGGTAAGTTGTAATTGGTTTGACGCAGTAAATGTTTGTAATCTTTTTTTAAAGACAATGATATGTCAAAGAATATACCATTAATGATATGGGAAACAAGCCTTTTGATCTTACAAAAATTCGATTACACAACTGCCTGAACAGTCAAAATTGTTAAATTTTATCTCAATACAGTTAGAGCAAAGTATGTCAAGAACAGAGTCTTTTTAAGTTTTTCTTGTTTTATTCTCTTCTCCTTAGCTTTCTCTTCTCCTTTCTCTTCTCCTTTCTCTTCTCCTTTCTCTTCTACTTTATAAAACGTTGGAATATGTTGTCTATATAGGCTCTCTCCATTAAGAACTGCATGATGTCCAAAACTGTTCTCCAGCGATCAAAAACATCGCATTTTGTTGACATTTAACAAACCCGTTTGGTTCGAAATAGTTTTGAAACAGTTTAGTGTACCGCAACTGAGTTATCATTGATTGAAGGAAGTTTGTTAGGTCTCTACCAAACCTCTTTAATTAAAGAAACATCGAAGGAAAAAATTACGGAAAAGAGCTAAAAGGAGCGCTTTATTTATCTTTATTGATTGTAAATCAATCAACAGATAGAAATGAAGACAGCCTTCATGACTAATAAAAGATTAAATAGGTGAATAGGAATTGAAAAAGTGTGAAGGTAATAACGATTATTTCTATTCTTTAGAAAGCATTAATACGTTAATGAAGATGGTAATATTTTGCGATATGAAATTTTTAATTTCAGACGAAGACGATAGTGGAGAAGAGGAGAGCGGGGAAGAAGGCGAAGAAGGGGAAGAAGGCGAAGAAGAGGAAGAAGGCGAAGAAGAGGAAGAAGGGGGAGACGACGACGATGATGACGACGACGACGACGATGATGACGATGACGATGATGATGAAGAAGAAGACGACGACGATGATGACGAAGAAGAAGGCGATGACTAAAATAAAGATTACGGAGACTATGAGACGCTAAAAGATTAAATCAGTTTATGATAGAATACAATATTTGCCACTACAACACAAAACAACTAATGGCTTAAAGTCGATTACAAGTTTTTGTCGAATATGCGTAAGCCTAGTTCAAGCAATTGCCAATAAAATCATAATTTTCTGTAAACAATTGTTGAACGATTCTCTTCATATAATTATATCATCTGTATTACCTTATTGCTTGTCATCTTTAATGAGAATCAGGTTACATAGTATAACGTTCGCCATAAAAGAAATAATTAATTAAGTTATTAGCTACGTGTTTCAAAAAATATGCTCAGCACTCGGCCATGGAAAAAAATAGAAAAAAGAAAAGAAAACTAAAAGTAATATTTCGAAACACCACAACAGCTTACACTATTTTCCACGAAAATTCGAATTAGGAGAGAATAACATAAACGACGATACTGATGGTACCTCTCGAAATCATTACTACGTTATTTTGTCGTCATTAACAAGGAAAAAAAGGAGCAGAGAGGGATGGATTGGGTTGAAGAGGGACGCGAACACAAAATAAGCCACAGACGATGGGCAAAAATTTTGCTATAACAAGTACATTTGATTTCTTTTCCTCCCATTTAATTTATCGACAATGTCATGATTCTAGTTTGTCAATCTTTGTTGATTGATATATTCCTGTGAACAACGTAGTCGTCATGCCCATCTAAAATATGGGGTCATTATCTACAAAGAGACGGCGAAGTCACAAACAGACCTTATTCCGCTGTTGTAGATTCTTAATATGTTGGCTTTGCATAAGCGCATTTTAATTTCGTAAGCAAATATTGGCGTTTAGATGCTGTCTGTACCACCTCAGACAGATGCTTGTTCCAGTGAAGTTTTATTGAGTGATTAATTTAAAACGAAGGTAATATTTCGGAACTATTGGCTGTACCCAAATGCAAGTCTTCAGAGAGATTCATGCACTTTGTCTCGGCAAAGATCATGAACGATTTCTTTCATTTCTTGCAGCCTTATGTGTGATAAATATCCTACCGCACAACATTTTACTCTTATTGCATCTCTACAGCTAAAAAACATTCCTTAGGCTGCGCTGCTCCTTACAAACGATTCTTTTCTCAGTGTCAGAGATGTCTGCTGTTCTTGCTTGTCTGACTCTTTAAACCTAGGTTTAGCCAGACGAAGCTGCTGTTGGGTTGATTTCAAATATTTTTTCATTTTCATACTGTTTTCACAAGGCAGTAGAGTTTCAGGTCTTTCAGGTCCTTTCAGATCTCATTCCGCGCACATTCCGTCATTTCGGCGTCTTAGGATATTCCGTCATTCTTCGTTTTAGCGTATTCCGTTATACCATCATTCTGACAAATGGGGTCCCCAGTCAACTCATCAAACGCGCGAAAAACAGACACTTTCGGTCCGAAGAGTATGACTCAAGGGTACCTGCGCCAAATGTCCTTGTTTTAGATATCGGGATAAAATGTGTATTTGTCGGAACCGCATCAGCCTCAAGGCAATACAAATAAAAGTGTACATCGAGCTAAGGAAAAATGTGAAAATTTGAAATATTATGACTACCAGTTAAAATTTGTCAGTTTTTACGCCCAGCGGCTAATGTTTTTTTTTGCCGTCTTTCGGCTAAAGGTTAACCCCAATGAGACCCGCAACCATCGGTCGATAAACTGACTTGAGTTTAACAAAGGCTATTTGAAGTAAAATTATTGCGGGTTTTCTTTTCCAAGAGACAGCAGAGGTAACTCCTTGTAAATTCTTGTGCATACCAGGTGCTATTAAGTAAGGTGTTCCATTCGCAACTGGAATAGCTTCCATACTGATATCCCTGACGTCGGAAACTGATTGACTTAGCGGCGAATGGACTCTGGCTGTGGCGCAATCAGTATATCAAAAACTTCACGAAGAACGTGAGCTGAGGACGTTAACAGCAGTCTACTTTTTGAAAAAGGGAAGGCATATTTAGTCTGTACCTCCTGTCTTCAAATGTGCAAAACACAACAACATAGAGAACAATGACAGCTGAAAAACAACATCAAAGCTTCCCTGACGAGTTACTTAAAATTCGAGTTTAACAATTACGAAAATTTGTCACAGATAGTGCACAAACAGTTCATGAAAAATGCAAATTAAACTAAAACATTGTAATTGCTGTAAGGAATAAAATCCTTCACTCCTGTACTCTTACACGGCCACGATGTGATTTGTTTACGATAAGAGAAGAGTACTTTAAGGAAGGAGTTAGAACTCCCTCTTATATTAAAGTCTCACGGTGTAGCGTTTGAATTATTTTAGCTTCTTCTGGGCAAGGGCGAAAAGAGGGCCTTCCACCTAAAACATAATGCGTCGGAATGATCTTCCAGAATAATTCTAATTAAATTTTTCCTTTAATGAATATGACCTTTTTGTCTGTTACTCCCAAATATGATATTGCACGCGACAATGCCTAAAGTTAACTTCATCCGCCGAATATTACACAATTAGTTTCAAAAATGCCCATCTCGTTTTCTTCTGAAGCTCATCACAGAAAACTGTATCATTCAGATGCCAAACTTTCAGAGGTCTGACAATCATGATTTAGTAAAATTAAAATGATAAAGGAAGACATGCTTAATTGATGTTCAAATTTGAACTAATCTACATCGACCTTTTACGCTTCAAAAGAAACATAAAAGGTGTTTGAAAACAACTAAAGGCAAATGGCTATACAAAAGCCTTTCTCCGTAACCGCCAAAAACCAGTTACAACTAGTAGCACTCCTGATGAAAGGGAACTAGCGACTGGTTGGACTCTGACCAGACGTCAGTTTGGTACACGTTTAAAAGAGCATCAAAAACCGATTTCTTTTGCAAAAAGGAAAATTCAGCTTTATCGGAGCACACATGCCTAAGTAACTATACAATTGGGTGGGATAATTCTAAAATTATCACCACTAATCGACGTTACCACAACGCCTTTGTTCGGAGGCTTGGTATATTAACTCCGCCCACGCTCCTTTAAATCGTGACGATGGCGGCTTGCTTCTTGACGCCTATTTACACCGAGTCAGAAAAAGGCAGCTAATTAGTGATCATATAAAAGAACCTCCTGTTGCAGCGTTTAGATCACCCCTAATGAAGGCACTAAACAGGAGTGTCGAAACGTTGGGTCTATGCATTGTAACTTCTTCGGTTACATTCAATAAACCTGTAAACCAGAGTAGCATCAAACCATGTCTGACGGCCTACCGTGTGAACTTTAATATAAGCTATTGATATTTCTGTCGCGGTTGACAGGCCTTACATCAATAAAAAATATAAAAAGCAATATATGCAATTTTTTTTCAACGGCGTCCTTTTCTTCCTTCCATTTCCCAAGGAATCATGGCGCCTCCTTCAAACGCATAATGATTAATGAATTATCAGTTTGAGTCTTAGAGTCATTTTGTTTGGCTTTCTTTTTTGGTTTGTTTGTTTGTTTTTGTTTATTCATTTTTCATTTTTAGTTATGGAGTTTTGTTTTGTTTTTCCCTAAAAATTGAAGGTTCTTCAGAGGTTCCGAGTGCTTGCTCATTGACATGCAAACAAACAAAAGTCTGCTGGATTCACTTATTCATCCCACACCCATTTTGCCCGTGGCGATCACTATCGCGCTTCAAACAAGTCCTTTCTAGCAGCGTCTTTCGTGTACGATCATTGAACCAAGACTTTTAAATTTCATAGACCTTTAACGATGCGTAAAAAACTGAAGAAAAAGTCATGCAAATGTTTAAGATGTCACTTAATAAGATCAGAGTCATCCTATAACATCTAGTGCTCCTTTTATTTTTATTAAAAGAGCTCATGCGTTCTAACTGGAGAAATAAAAGAAGTTTTGTTTGGCAAAGTCGTTTTCAACAGCATCAGCTGCTCGTTAAATGAATTAAATAGAGTGTATTGTTATCTTTTCCATCCTTTCATAGCGAAAGTGATAAATCGAGAACGATATTTCGTGGTCGTGGATGGTGCATACGAGTAACACGAGACTATATGCAACCACTGAGCTCCAGAAGAACAAAGGTGGATTCCTTGAGATCGTTTTTACCTTCTCAGCAACCACCTTAAAAGTTCAAAGTCAGGGAAAAATTAACTATTAGTCAATATTATTATGTACGCCCTAAAATAATTCTACTAGGACAATCAAGACGCTAAACTGTGACTGATATATTGGACCTGGAATTTTCAGCATTTCCGTTTTTTCCGTCTCAGAGCCAATTGGAGGCCAGAGCACTTTTTCTTGGGAGCTTTCTGGACCATCAAACAGCGATAATGAATACATTATTTGCATGTGTGACAGAGAAAAACAACTAAAATTACGGCTAGTTAAAATGTGTATAATGAGACTAACATATAGCATGTTTTGGATAATGCACTGGAGAAACACTACTTAATTTAAATAACGTTCGTATTCATATTTTGGTTGGTTAACCTTTGAAAAATATTCCACTGAATTTGTTATCAGCCAATATTGGACGCTAACGTTGCGGTCACGCTAATTAGCGGTTTTTCTTTGCATACTTATAGGACTCTTTCTCGAAAACTATTCTGCACAGAGGCATCATCAAACAAGCTTTAGAGAGACAGCAAGGATCAAAGCTCACGAAATGGCTTCCAAAGCGTTCGTTCTGTTGTGTTTCCTTGCCCTGCTAGGGCAGCTGTCTGGCTTTAAGTTAACTCGACGTGTTGGTAAGTTTAAAAAGACTAACAGGAAAAAAACCAACAAATAAAATAGGTAATTTATGATAACATGCCATTCCTTAAAACAGACCGATAGTCTGCCACCTCGCTCAAGCCCCTTTAATGAAGAATCTAAAGAGGTTGTAAATATCTCACTGAAGAAAACTTGACAAATGAAAAGAAAATCTGTTTAAATAGCATCTGTATTGTCTAATGTATTTTGATTGCTTCTAAAAACAAGGAAACACTCCGAAACGCTCTTTGCATGCGTGTTTGCATGTGTGTGTGCGGACCGAGTAGGCAAGGCAAAGGAAAGCCAACGATAGCAATTGATACATGCTCAGTTTTCCAGCTGCTGCAGCCTCCATAAAGCGAAGCTTTTCAAAACTAGATCTAGAACTGAAATTTCAACAAGTACTAAACTTGCAAACAAGGGAAAGTATAGTTAGAAAGTATAGTTATATCATTATTGAATACGAGAAATATCACATGGCAGAAGATAATTATAGTTCAAGAAGAAAATCCGCGTCCTAGTTGGATATTTAGAGATGCAAGAATTCTAAAAAAAGTCCACACTGTTAAGTTGGCATTCAGAATTTTCGGATTCAAAATGCAACCACAAGCAACTAGCTGTGTCAATTTGCCGGTGCATAATAAGTTTGTGACTTAATGTTCTGACAGAGATTAGCATCAGTTGATAAAACTTAACGTAATGCGTGAATCAATTATTTTTCTCTGAAAATGTTACACTTCGCCTTACATGCTAACTTTAACCTTAAGTTGTCAAGAATAGTCTTTGGGCCATGTATCGAGGAAACTGGCTCATTACAAATTACGCAATTTCGAGAAGCAATATTATTTTGTTGTGAGGAGCAAGCTGGTGAAAACAAAGGATGCAGCTGACTGTTGCACTGCAGCCGACTGTTGCGCTGCAACGATTTAAACACGTTATAATGCCATTTTTATGCTGAATGAGAGATAATTGGAGCGAAATTGTGCTCTAGTCGAGCGAAAATCTGAAAATAAATCGACCAAAATAGTCCATAATGTATACCAGAATCAACGACTGAAATGTTTGAAAACACGATGGAAACAAAGGACACAGCCAAGTGTTGCTCTTTAGCTAAGTTAAAAACACATTTAAGTTCATTTTCAGGCTAAATGAGCAATAATTGATGAATGTGCTCCGGTGAAGCGAGGAATTTTTTTTGACAATGTAAGGGCGTAAACAGGTTTCCGACTCGAACAACCCACCAAAAAAAAAAAAGGTGAAGAACAAAGAGAGAAGTCAATAAATTAAAATGGAATACAATAAAATTGTAGATTAGATACCTTTTCTCGTTTCATAGAAAGCTTTTTTCTCGCTGTAATTAGAAGCGAACAATGATTTAAGTGATTGATATTGCAGCCCTCTACATTAATCTTGATCAGTCGACAGCGCACGAGTGCATAGTTTTCTTACAGAGCACTACCCATCCGACAGATTTAACAAAGTTGCAGACAGATAGAAAGCCATGGCAAGCTTACAAAGATTCCGCTCCTTAGATTCCTTTGTGAGAAGTCTGGGCTTGATATATTTCGGAAGGCAGTGGGATACAAAATCCGATATTTTTTCCCTAGAGCTAGACTGACAAAATTCGCTCTTATTCATTGATCGTCCGAGTCTAAAGTAGCGACACATTTGTTATCGTCTGTAATATTCCTTAGTGGCCTTCATTTTTTAAGGATGTTGTCATCTTCGTTTTCTGTCACAGCCAAGATATTATAGAGTCTTGAGCAAAAATATGATTACATCATGTAACGATAATGGTCGGTTTGTTTGGATGAGAGACGATAGTATTGTCTCTCATTCACACAAACCGACCATTAGGTTCAGTCAAAATATTTGTATGTTTTCAAGACCACTTGTATGTGGCTTGAGATCAAAACGTTAATTGCATGAACATCATTTTCAAATGTATAGATAAGTGAACATCACTTAAAACCCACTCTGGTGATCATCAACGCAACAACATGAAAAGAAAACATTTAATCGTGTAGTTGCCGTTTTGAAAATGTGTTGTTTTAATAAAAGTTTCTAAAATCACTTTGCGTAGGATGACCCAGTGATTCCATTGTCAAGCGAGGAGCATAGCTATTACTCCGTTAGTATATAGTGGCGGATATTATTGGCGTCAGAGAAACTTAAAGAAATTAAGAAAGCCTATTAAAAGTGGCTGTGGCTGTGAATAATCATAGAACTGAACTCATTGACTCTCAGTAAATAAGACAATGATGAAGGTAGCTTAGACCGTGACTGTAGTAGTTCAACTCATCGAGATGATTATTTATGTCTGTTGTTCAAGTAACACGGCCTGTTATGTGACACATTTAAAAAATCGACGACATGTTACGCCACCCTACACAATAATAACCACAGAGATTTCTATTAGTTTCAAAGATAGGGGTTTGAGAAAGGATACATAAGGACAAAAATAAAATACGACATTGTTAGTAATTAATTACCAGCTGTATAATTTCCCACTATTATGACAAACAGAATGGAGTAAATCTTTCAGTATTTCAAAATTACTGATCTCGAAGATTTGTTCAGAGAGCTCTCGGACAAGAGGGACCCAGCAGAACCATTCTGTTGAAATTCTATAAGACCATTGATCCACTTGAGACACCAAACATTGATATGCACTAAATTTAGCTCATCATTATTTTTACAGACCTTGAACGCTTTAGCCAAGAGCTTGAGGATGTAAAGAACTACATCAAAAGTTTGGGTAAGAGCAAGTAGTTGCCATTGATTCAATCGTTTATGTGTAGTCCACTGATTGAGGGAAATTTAAAAAAACGCCGGTGAAAGGTTCATTGCACTCTCAAGCATTATGTTGCAGAATGGAACTGTCGAGAGTGACCGAGGTCATGCATGGAACTACTTCAAGTGTTATTTAAAGATAAGGACACAAAACATTCATTGTGTGCTATAATAAAGGATCGCGACAATTTACAATAAAGAATTTAATCACTACGTAACTGCTCTGGCTCAAATGTAGATTAGGTTCTTTTTTTCGTAAGATGAAAAACCTTTATTGATTCAAAAATTTTCAGGTTACGCTCGTTTTCTATTGCCTCAATTTCGAAAAAGGATGTAATTGGCGCCCACGCTATTTAGAGTAACAGTGCCTGTTCAGTCGGTCATCCTTGAAAGCCTTGGCCGTTATGAAATTATACCCTTGTTTGATAAGGTTTTATGTCAAAAGCAACGTGCATTTGAAGCTTTTAAGTAATAGTTACTCTTTCCCTGGTTTTGTAGTCATGATCTTTAAGTAATCGTTGTTATCTGTTTAATGTTCATTAGACTCGCCCGCACGCGATGACGATGGAGAAGGTGAGGAGGGAGAAGAGGAAAGTGGAGAAGAAGAAGGTGAAGAAGAAGAGGAAGAAGAAGAAGAAGAAGAAGAAGAAGAAGAAGAGGAGGAAGACGATGAAGAAGAAGAAGAAGAAGAAGAAGAGGAAGAGGAAGAAGAGGAGGAGGAGGAAGAAGAAGAAGAAAGTGGAGAAGAAGGGGAAGAAGAAGACGATGAACAGGAGGATGAGGAGGAAGAAGAGGAGGAAGAAGAAGAGGAAGAAGAAGAAGAAGAAAGTGGAGAAGAAGTGGAAGAAGAAGAAGAAGAAGAAGACGATGAAGAGGAGGAAGAGGAAGAAGAAGAAGAAGAAGAAGAAGAAGAAGAAGAAGAAGGAAGTGGTGAAGAAGAGGAAGAAGAAGAAGAAGAAGAGGACAAAAGAGAAGAGAAAGGTGGAAAGAGAATGGACGACGACTCCCTTAATGATTATTTGAATAATTATTTCAGAAAATTCGAAGACTACATGCTCGATAACTACTATCGAAAGAAACACAATTGAGGGGGAATGATTTAGCTTAATCAAGACTGTTTCTATTGTATTTGCGAAACTTAAAAACAAACAGATAAAATGACGTTGTACAGTGACACATGCAACACTCTGCTGGGTAAATCATACTAAGCGCCTTACATGACTTGTATTAAGCTTTCTTGTAGTGGAAAATAAATTTTCCTTCTTTTAACAAATAATGAATCATGTTTCAATCAAACCAGCTTCTGATCCCGAACGTTTTGAGAATAATACACAGATTTTCGCAAATAAGATAGTAGTGGATGAAAAATGAATCAATGATAATGAGAGATCTTATTTTTTGTCACCGGAGTAGGACGTGGCAAACTAAACCTGATTCCTCTCAGATCCACAGATTTCTCGGTCCGATTTTCCATAATCTGTACGGGTAAATTTGATAGACAGTGTGCATACATGGCAACTTCCCGCACGCTTCTATGAACGAAAAATGGCCTGGTATTGGGCTTGACTCTTAGATGATTTCACTCAGACTCCGAAGGATCAAGTCTTTACCTGTAACCTAGATCTTTGTGAATGAATGAACCTGTGTTATGAGAGTAGTAAATTTAATGAATATCTTCATAGCTCCCTCATTACGCACAACATATTTAGAAGAACATGTTTATATGGTGAAAAACACTAAAAACTGTACTATTTGTATTTCAGAAAAAATAGCGACTGTCTTTCTGAAATGCAAATACAATATTTGGCATGGGATTTGAGTGTTAATGGATAATAAGTTGTTTATTCCAGGGCATGACACCTAAAGTGGTATTCATCATTTCAAGCGAGAAAGGAAAACATAAAAGAAAACATGCAAAGAAAAGAAAAAAGGAGAATTCGTTGATTAGGTGTCATTCCGCGCTCACATTGCTTGTCTTCAGAATATTCAGCTAGACTGGCCACCAACCCAAGATCAAAAACAGTTTCAAGGAGGGTTTACAAGTCTTCCTGGGTTCCCTTGTCTTAAATTTGCTATTTTGCAGGGCTGTCAAATCACGCGTTCTCACATAATTGGCCCAATATCGTCTTCGATTGCACAGAACGCGGCATATCATACAACTCGCGTAAAAAGAGCAGAATCCTAATAGGGAAAACGAAGAATTCTAACTTAGATCGAGGTAAATTCCAAGCTAACCATTATTTCATGTTGGTTCAAAACAAGAAAGAAGGACGGTTAAATAACGTCTCGAACGGCTCAATTAATTCTCCATCTTCCTTTAAAAGGAATTTTAGATGGTATTGTTATTATTATTATTGCCTGTGACCCGGCAATCCCTTATTTTGTTGTGTTTCTTTTTATTTTGCGTAAGATTTCCTGCCGCAACCCTGCTGTCAAGCCAAGAGGTCTCATCATTAATGTTGAAAGACTCAAACTTTTACACCACGGAGGAGCTTCAGCACATGTTTGAGTACTAGTCGTCTGTACATAAACTTTCCAAGAAGAATTTTATAGGGTGTCATTTTGCAACACACGAAAATATAGATTTCCATAGTTTCTTTTAAATTCATGGCACGTACTAAAATGAGTAGTTCGCACTCAATTACGATGATGCGATCTAAGAAAACCTCAACTCAAGAAGCACTCGAATGCTGTGTGCGGTGGAACTTAATTCTTCCTTTTTTTCATGAAGTGCTCGGAAAAAGTTGAGAGTGTCATTGATATATTGAATATTCCCCCAGTAGCTACCAAATATTTGTTGCTATGATTGTCGTCCAACTTTTTACGATATGAAACTCGCCTGTCTTTACTTATATGTTTTTTTAAAAGCTCTTTGGGACTGCAATACAGTATAAACTCTGGACTAAAGTAAAGACGACTATACTTTTTCACCTAGGGAGTTGGTGGACTTTTAGAGGGCTGGTAGCCTACTGAGAACAACGTTCGGTTTGAGATCACATTTCCTGGAGATACGAGTGTAGGAGTAAATAGTTAAATAGAAGTAAATAGCACGTGTCTCAGTAGTCCTGATGACCATCGGGTCGGAAATGATTAAATCACGTAGGTACAGCATCATCCCTCTAGAAGAGGTACAGTATTATCCCTCTAGAAGAGGTCCAGTATTATTCCTCGACAATTGATTGATATTCTTCCTAAAAAGTACATTTGCTCATATAATTAGCGTTTACGAAATAAAAAATCTTACAGGAAAACTGAATTACAGTTTTCGAACCTTGTGGACGAGCGAGGGAAGACATTCCGTCTCTTGGGAATGTGTCTGTGCGAAATAGGTAAAAAGGGATTGTTGGCCACATAGTCTCATTTCCTTTGCCTCTAATTTGAAACCGCAAGCATTGATAAGCAAAATAAATATTGCTGTGTTATTACTCAAATCAAACCAATATAAGAAGCCGAAAAGTGAGCTGCTTGGCTGATTTTAATTAATAAGTAGCGCAGCTTATATTAAGCTCTAACTTGCCACACAGAGAAGTCATACTCAGCTATCTCTAACAAAGAAAGGCCGAGGAAGAAAACAGCTGCAGAAAATAATGAGTTCGAGAATGTTGCTCCTCTTACTCCTTGCATTTTATGTGGGACAGCTCACAGCTATCTCTTCACCAGGCAAGTTCAAGTAAATTTACTAGAACATTTTTTCTAGTTTTAGAATTATCCTTTTTGCAATTAATGTCAAAGCTTGATTAGGAGAAGGCTTACAACAGTTCATACTTTTGTGGATTATACCTTTTCAATACTTACATGTATGACCTTTCCTAGTCAAAGTATACTATATGTACTAAACTTTGCTTAACTTGATGTTTTGGCCAACAAGAGAGAACTTTGAGTTTAAAAAAAAACGAAGTTCTGAAAAGATGACGACAATTTGAACATTTATTTGCGAGTACAAAGTTAAAAGCTAAAAAAGAAGGAAGGAGAGACAAACACTTTCTATCGCTCGGAGAAAAATTGTAATGTTGTAGCATATTGCGGGCGCAAGTCCTACCTAATTCCTAAGGAGCTAGTATGTTAAAATCCTTATGTACGCATGGCCGTACATCCATAACATGACGTGTGCACTTTCCTTCGGCTGCAAGTTCCCGTCGAGTTTAGCCGCAAGGTTTCAAAACTTTGAAGATTGTTTTTCCGTTCCATCCCAATTGAGAGAGAACTTTTGGAGCTCAAAATGAAATGAAATATGCTGGCATGTAGGTCTTTCAAACGACGAAATTAGTTTTGGAGTTAACTATACTTCATTCATAGACACGTTGCGAATTATGGATGAGAACAAAACTGAGGGTTTTTTACTTTAATTGAGTGCATTGTGTACATGTCGTCATCAGGTACATCTGAAGGGCCGGAAGAAACAGACCTCCCAGAGGTACCAGAGGGGACTGATGTTCCAGAGGAGACTGATGTTCCAGAGGGGACTGATGCTCCAGAGGGAACTGATGCTCCAGAGGGGACTGATGCTCCAGAGGGGACTGATGCTCCAGAGATTACCCATAAAGGCTTAGTCCTTTTTGACTAAATATAACATAATAAATAATAAATATAACTTGCTTTGAATGTACGGTTTATTCTTAAGCCGAGTCTTCGACAAATCCCAAAATAATAAACGTATGACTTACTTAATTGTGGTAAAAACGTTATTGTGTCAGAAAGAGAAAGATCGTGCGCAATGAAAAGAAAATCTACAAAAACTACTACTACTACTACTACTACTACTACAACAACTACTACTACAACTACTACTACCACTAAAACCACAACAACTACTACTGCTACAACTACTACTACTAATACTACTACTCATCGCCAACTATTGTGGCCAAGCGCTCGCGTAATGTAAGCAGATTCTTAGAAATGTAACTCTAAAAATGGCGTCAAATTTTACAAAGGAATGTATGGAGAGATTTTTAATATTTTAAAAAAATCGGTTTAAAATTACAGATGGAAAATTTACCGAAGTGGGGTGCCGTTATATAGACTGCTGTCTGTGTACTGCTGTAAATAATAAGACTTAAGGTAAAAAAAAAAGAAAATTAATTTTCCCAGTGTTCCTGTACCTGGTACTTCACTTGCCGGAGTGGAGACTTATAGTTGACGCTGATCTTAACCCTACCCTAAAATTTGAAGTCCTGCAAAGAACGCAAAAAATCCTGAGCCTTACGAGAAAGAAAAACAGCTTCTACCTGCGATACCGACTTCCTTCCCGAGATCCGGCACTCGTTCGGAGCACAATTTTTCCAGAGAAACTTCGCAAGGTATACCATGTTTGGTATCAAAATTTTCAACGCAAATTCAGCTTTCTAAAGCTGCTAGTCTTTCTAAGTGTTACGGCACGCTTATGGCCAGCAGTTAAACGTGTGAGCAAGTTTGCGCGGCAGATTTTGCGCTAAAATTTGAAAAGTATGGATAAAATTTTTCCTCTTATCGCGTGGGTTAGCATTTCTGAGGCCTCTGAGATGTCTGATTTACTCCACAAATCTGCTATATCCCGGTGTAAGGAGTCTGTATGTGTTTCCGTCAATGCTAGCCTAACATATGTAAAATATCAGTGTGTTAGTACCGAAAAGGTGGTCTTTAAAGTCGCATTCACATGCGACTGTTTAAAAAGCTGGTTAAATTTCAAGAAAAATAATGCACTGGCAATCAGCTAAGTACAAATTCTAAACGCGTTTTTAGAAGGACAAATATAAGAATTGAAGGTAAAACCAGGCTATTAATCTTTGTAGTTGACCCTTTAACTTATTTCTTTCTTCTTTTACTACTATTTAACTACTATTACCACTACTACTACAACTAACACAACTACTACAACTACTACAAATACTACTACTACTACAGTGAGGTGTGTTCAAAAACGTTGCACTTTGGAATTCGTATTTTAATACATGATAATAATAATAATATATATACTATATATATAACTAATATATATATATATATATTTATATAACTGCAGACAGTACTGTTTCGGCCTTCTGGGCCTCATCAGTGCAGTGCTGATGCTTGGATGGAGGTAAGGCCATATAGCCACCCCAAGTGATCTCACACATGTAGGATCATCTAAGCCATGCCAGAGTGCTCAAACTAGAATATATATATATATGTATGTATTTATATAAAGTTAAGAAAAATGCGAGGATGGACAACTTCTAACGTAACAAAGATAAAAAATTTAATAAAAACGTTTCGGTCAAAGACCTTCTATTATTTACAGACTTTGAATAAAAAAGAGCTTTAAAAAGGTGGAGGTGCTAGTGATTACGTAATTACAGGTGACAACTAATGAATAAGATACAAAATCACGTGAAAGAGCAGAAAGTGGTGTTAATAAAAAAGATGACAGAAAACAAAATCAACAAAGCGAAAATATCAAAAAAAAGAAGCCAAAAAGAAAATAATGGACAAAATACGAGAGATAAAACCTAGAAACTAAAAACTAAAAAAAATAAACTTGCTAAAACGAATAGCGCAACTGAATAGGCAATGCGGCAAGCATTAGAAAAGGATAGACTCACTTTTACCAACAACTGTAAACCGTGCCAAAATCCCACAAGAAGGCCTTTGGAGCCTGAAAGGGCAAATTAGCAGCAAAATCCCTGGAGGGGCCCTTAAATAATATTAATCATAATAAGATCCCTTGGCATGGCCTCTGAGTCCAATCAACACCTAAAAGGCTCGCAAAATCCAAGAAAAGGGCCTTTGAACGATTAATCAGTAACGAATAATATAGGATGGAAAATTAATTATAGCAAATTCTGTTTTTTGAATGAAATTCCTTTCTTTTATTTAAGAGCTGAGAAATTCCTTTCTTTTATTTAAGAGCTGAGCACTCCAAAAGCTTCTTTTGTACCTAAAAGCCTATCGATCTCCTTAGAGCCGCTTGGGGTCTGTATCTGATCAAAGATATTCGTGTTATTACGAAACATAATTCTAAAGTCGGTAGCGGTAGATCCCACGTATTGCAAGCGACATTTCTTGCAAGAAACCAAATAAATCACATTTTTAGAATCACAAGAAATTCTGGAATGAATGGTGTATTTTTTACCCGTCTGAAAGCTAAGAAATGATTTAGATTCAACAAAGAAGTTCCGACAGAGGTCGCATCTATTCCTATCGCATTTGAAGCAGTCATTGTTGTGATGAATTGTTTGTCCCTCGTTGACAGTTTTAAGACAAAATGGTGCTAATAATTCTTTGAGATTTTTTGACCGACGAAAATATGGTATGATAGAACCTCGAGGAAAAAGTTCTTTTAATTTGGGGTTGGTTTGTAGAATGAACAAATGCTTTCTGATTATGTTGCCTACGTCGGGTAAATTTGGATTAAATGAAATGATTTCTTCGTTTCTTTTCCATGAGTCCTAAGTAAATCATTTCTAGGAATGGCGGAGTCTTTGGGGAATTGATCCGAAACTAATTTAGAGGGATAGCCCTGGTTAACAAGGCACTCTTTATCCTCAGCTGGACGTTCTCTCGGCAAGAAAAATTTCTTCAGAGCAATTTTTTTTCAATCTTGTGGCTACTCCAAAAGGAATACCCTTGAAAACATGCTTAGGATGGCAGCTAGAAGGTGGAAGATATAAGTGACTATCTATAGGTTTGGAATAGACGTCTGTCTTAATAAATCCATCGATAAGATATAAAGTAAGATCAAGTACGTGAAGCTCACGCTCAGAAAAAACTAACTCAAATTTAATAGTGGGTTACAGAGAATCAATGTAATCAGTAAATTGATGTAGGGCAGGAAGGCCTTGCTGCCAAAGATCAAATATATCGTCTCGATATCGCCACCATAAGGACGGCTTTATCGGACCAGAAAACTTAGCTTTGAGATCAATTTCGCCCATGGCTAGATCGGCAGAGCTACAAGCATTCTTTGAACCCTGCTCTTTCACGTGATTTTGTATCTTATTCATTAGTTGTCACCTGTAATTATGTAATCACTAGCACCTCGACCTTATTTAAAGCTCTTTTTTATTCAAAGGCTGTAAATAACTGAAGAAAGTCTCTGACCGAAACGTTTTTATTAAATTTTTTATCTTTTTCACGTTAGAAGTTGTCCATCCTCGCATTTTTCTTAACTCTCTTCGTTCTTGTTTGCTGTGAAGTTTGGACTGCGAATCTTTATTGATCCTCCTGGCGCGGTGCACCTTTGTTAGCCTGAGACTTCTAGTAACTTTTTTTTTATATATGTATAAATATATAAATATATATATATACACTCGTTGTCAAAAACGTAATTTAAAAATATACATGAAATATATATAAGCCTTTGTGATGAGAAAACCATAGGTGTGTATATAGAAACCCGTTTTGAAAAACGTTGCAACATTGAAAATATATATTAAATATATATCTTTTGTTTTCTTGTCAAAAAGTGTATTTTTCTATGAGAAAAGAAAAGGTATATATATATTTAACATATAAATATATATATATATATATATATATATATATATATACATACATAACGATTCAAATAACAGCTCTCAGAAAATAATACCATAAGAAGCATATATTTATATTTAATAGGTTCACGGGTTGTTATAAAATAATTTTTTGTTATGTTGCGTAAGAGATGAAGGAAAACCTTGATGGTTAAGCGTAAACATGTCTTATAAATCCTTAGCGAAGAAAATCGCATCATTCTAGTAAAGGAAGCGATGAATTCTAACTTAGATCGAGACATTTTCATGCTTAACATCATTTCGTAGTAATTATAAAAAAAAAAGATGAAAGACGCGTGGTTTAACTAGGTCTCGATCTGCTCAGAGAATACTTCTTCTTCCTGTTAGAGTAAATTTCTGTTAACCCTGCAAGTAATATCTTATTATTATTATTATTGTTATTATTATTATTATTATTATTATTATTATTATCTGTGATCCAGCAAACCTTTATTTTCCGTGTTTGTTTGTGATTTGCTAAGCAGTCGTGCTGTCGAGCCAATAGATTCCCCACCATCAAGGAGATTGACCGCATGTTTGAGCGGCTTGTACAGATATTTGCCAATAATAGTTTTAGACCGTATTATTTTTAAAAACACAACACACGGAAATATGTAATGGATGTGGATAGTTTCTTGAAAGTTTATGGCACGTACGAAATTGAGTTATTGGTATTCAGTAATGATGATTTGTAGGATACGAAAGTCACCTTTCTTTACTGATATGTTTTCGTTGAAAGCTCTTTGGGATTGCAATACAATATTACCTATTGACTGAAGTAAATATGACTCCACTTTTTCACTTAGAAAGTTGGTAGATTTTCGAGAGCAACTCGTTTCAAGAAAGCTATTACTAACTTTTGGCATACAATGATGGGTTAGATCACATATTCTGAAGATACTAATAGAGGCGTAAACAGTTAAGCAGGTAACTATAATTGATGGACATTTGGTCGAAAATGGTAAAATCACGAAGTTGCAGTATTATCCCTCTGGAAGAGGTCAAATACTGTTATTCAGCAACTGATAAATGTTCTTACTACAAGATAGCTCATACCATTAGCGTTCACCAAATACTGAGAGAACATATCCAGTTTCGAACCTTGCAAACGAGCAAAAGATGCCATTCTGTCCCCCAAATAGGTAGAGAGAGAATTAGTGACCACCTTGTCTCATCGTCATTGTTCCTAATTTCAAACCGCAAACGCTGATCATGATCAAAATAAATATCGGAATGTTACTACTTTAATCAAACCAATATTAGAAGCCCAAAAATCTTCTACTCGGCTGCTTTTAACTAATATATACCGCCGCTTATTATAAGCTCTAACTTACCACGCAGTGCAGTCACACTCTCAGTTATCTCTAACAAAGAAAGGCAGACGAAGAAAACAGCTACCAAAAAAGATGAGTTCGAGAATGTTGCTCCTCTTATTTCTAGCATGCTATGTGGGACAGCTGACAGCTTTCTCTTCACCAGGCGAGTTCAAGTCAACATAAACTATAAGAATTTTAATTTTTGAGGGATTTATTTTCAATTTTAGAATTATCCTCTCTGCAATCGATGACGAAGCTTGATTCCTTTTGGATATGATAGATGTGCGATTTGTTGATAGGGCAACATCTAATAGAACGTCAACTCATACTTTTGTGGAATGTGTATTTTTAACACTTACATGTCTAACCTCTCCGAGACTAAGTAACTTACTAAATTTTACTCAACACGATGTTTTGGACAAAGAAGAGAGAACTTCGAGCGATAAAAGGGTGGTTCTGAAAAGAAGACGACAATTTGAACAATTAATTTCTGCAAAAACGAGAAGGAAAGGAAGGAAAGAAAATTTGTATTATAAACATTAAAGATATTAGATGTTGTCTAATCCGAAGTAATAATACCAAAGTCTGTGTTTTCATCCTGTTTTCGCTTCGTTGCTTGGAGAGTCATCATGTCTTTCTGATTCCATCTCTGCTTTCACGCAAACAACTTGGTTACATGGAAAGATTGATTGAAAAGTACCCCCAATAAAGCGAATTTGACAAAGACTGCCTCATAGTCAGGGAATAAACTAGAGTGTGAAGGAACATAACCTTTCATAATCGCATGATAACAGTACTCATTTCATTTGAGCTAATAGAACTTGTTAGAATATCCTGACTAAGTGTACACCCTCTAGAGACCCAATGTATCACTTTCTTTGGCGTAATTCGTCTCGTCGAGGTGAAATGCGTGCAATTGCATATCACGCGTACAAGAGCCTCCCCATCATCCGTTTACAACTACGATTAATAAAGACGCTGATTACCAAATGAACACCCGGAAAAATGACTTCTCCAGTGGGGGCGTAGTGGTGGTAATAATCTCACTCTCTTTATTGTATACATGTGATCATTAGGTACAACTGAAGGACCCGAGGCACCAGAGGGGACTGAAGCTCCAGAGGGCACACAGGCTCCAGAGGGCACACAGGCTCCAGAGGTTACCGAACCCCCAGAGACAGAAATATGAAACACAAACACGAAACAGTAGAGGAGGCGAATGCTTTGTAAACTCGTTATTTTACCAATTTTCTGAAACCATTCAAACTGCACGACCAGAAACTAGTAATATACTACAATGTCACAAATGTTAATTTGTTTGAATTGTTAAACAAGTCGTTTGCTGTGAATAAAGGGAATATTCTAAAGCCAATTCATCGTCAGTATGTTAACAATGTAAATTAAGATAATAAACGTAAGACGTACGTAGAAATTATAGTATCATAAGGAGAAAGACCGTGTGCACTGCTACAAATAATGCTTCTACTTTCACTTCTCCTCAGACTACTTTTACGATTTTCACTACCTCTGCTATTCAATTATATCGAAATATTATTGCGAGACTAAGTCATCAAAAGAAGGGAGAGAAGACTTTAATCACCGTTTACAAACGCATACTTATTAAGAAAAGCGGATTATTTTCATTAAAAGGAATGAAGCGTTGCCAATCGATCGAGAAATTACCGTATATTACTATTTAGAAAAAATCAAGGCATCAGCTTTTAAAATACTCGTGGGATTTTTCAAATTTCCGATTCTCGTTCGAGCGGCAAATCTAAACCTTCAGTAAGACTGTAGGAAATACAATATCTCCCTGTGTGGGTGGCACTGGTTGAGTCATTTTGATGCAGGTAGTTACGGTGGGATGGATGCAGGGGAGACTGTTGTTCTTATAAAGTAAACGCCGTTTGATGTCTTTAAATTGATAAAGTTTATATATCGCTGTTTCTTTTATTCAATAATGCTTTAAATTGGCATGGGATATGTTGCTTAAGGAAACCACAGTCCACGCATACTTATTGATTCCTTTTGTGTTGAGCGTTCAGTCGATTATGGGCGAATACAATTATGGTGATAACTTCGATTTTTGTTGGCCTGTCGAAATATCATAATTTAAGTGTGTAAAATTGTTTCATCCTTCCAGAAGCATACTTTTTGGTAAAACAACGCATTTTACCAAAAGGTAGGCTTCTTAAAGGATGGCACATGGCATAATTACGCTTAAATCATCTTTTAAAGCTGATTGCTTTCTTTCTTGATCCAAACCGATTTCAGATATAAACGTAAGCGTAGTCAAAAAGACAACGATATAACTGACGTTTCATCGTTTGTCGAAAGGTCGTGATCAATACTCGATTGATTAGTCTGACTCTTACATCGTGAGACAAACGATTAAAATTTCACTTACAAAGTTAGCCACGATTAACAACAGCATTCTCTTTATCTAACGAAAATAATGTTTCTTCAAATTTCCACGCTGAACTAAGGGTTTATAATTAGCCTATGATTAGCCTGACTCTTATATCGTTAGAAAAACGATTAAACTTTCAGTTATATAATTAGCCATGATTAACAGGACCATTTTCTATAGAAAACGGAGATAACATGTCTTCCAATTTCCCCGCTGAACAAGGGGAAAATAACAAAATATAAAAAGAACAGTCAAGAAAAAGAACAAGAGGAAGAATATTTGAGAAGAGTCACTTGTCTATGGACAGTTTGACTCAAGTACGACTTTGATTATTCTTTTCGCCTATCGTTATGCTATTAGGAGAAATAAGTCGATTTCAATGAAATTGCAACTCACTTCACATCAAGTAGTCGTTCGAGCCTCAGGACACTGATGATTGAGAGTATTTTTTTCTTTAATCTTCAAGAAAAAAAATATACTTTAAATGTTATGTAACAGCTTGCACTCATGGGTGTGTCAAGAGCACATATCAAACGTAAGGACAAAAATTCCCTTGTCTGAAAGTAAGATTCAGCAAATCATAGCCGAAAAACTTTTTTGTTTAATTTTCTGGGTTAATGCTAATTCACTATAATTAAACATCGCAATTTGGTATCCACACGTACTCCTTATGGAATGTGATTGTTTTCAAAACTTTTAAAATCCTTTTCGAAACAAGTTATTCACAAAACAAAATAATGTTAAGCCAAACTCAAGCTTCTTAAAATTCATTGCTGAAAAGAAGACCTTCGGCACATATATGTAGTAATTAGAAAGGAAAATCGTCTCGTTAAAAACCCTCATTTCTCAAATGCAGGAGCTCGTCTGCTGTTGTGGCCTGGCTATAAATTCAGTTCTCTGTGCTCAATTGCACTTTACACCCTTGGATTTCTTGTTTCGAGTTTGCACTACGACGCCGGAGAAGTTTAATAGATGGGGTTCATACGTGACAATTTCCTACAAGACACTAGTTACGGTATTAAAACTAGTGTTGGGCTTGGCTCTTATATGACTTCTCTGCGACTCCGTGGTAAAGCGTTGGAGTGCGAAATGCGAAGGATCAAAGTCGGGTACTCAGGTTTTTCGCTTGACCTTGCTCCAGTAGTCATTAGGCATTTTGTCTCCAAAATGATAAAAATGCATTCCAATACATAATTTTCCTTCCTATCAGAAATAAATATCTGTTATCCATATCTGAAGGAAGGAACTTCAAATCTTTTTTATAACTATTCCAATGACCCGGGAAATTCTTATTTTGTGTATGCAGCAGCCCTGCTGTCAACTCAAAGGATTCTCAACTTTGAATGAGTCAAACGTTTACACTACGCAAAGCTTAAGCACGTGTTTTTACCGCTTGTAGAGATAGTTTAAGAAAACACGGAAACATGTTAGAGATATGCAATGTTTCTTCGAAGTTTATGGCACGCTCGAAAATGAGTATTCCGAACTCAATTAATTAGGATAATGCTATCTGAGAAAACTTTAACTCAAGATGCGCTCGAAAACCGTACGTAGTGAAAATTGATTGACTCTTTTTTTTTCTAGGAAAAGTTGAGGAGCCTAACCCATGTAGCAAATGTAGCAAATGTTTTTCTAGCAGCTGCCAAACATTTTCCCAAGATTGTTACACACAACATGACACTCGCCTGGGTGTGCTTCAAATGTGTATCTGTTTGTGATGAATTAAATCGCTTTGTGACGTGCCGAGACTAAAAAAACCGACTACGATCCAATATAACCTCTCCTTGACTGGTAAATTCTTTTTCACTTAAAAACGTTGGCACCTTTTCTAAGAGCCACTGTTCAATGAGAGCTGCTGTCAACCTATTGCTGGAGACCACTGAGTGACGAATTCGTGCCCTCGCCAACGACGACCTTGGGGTTTTTTAGTAAGTGTTCACATTTAAATTAACCATTCAGATATGTCACGAAAGTACAGTATTATCGCTCTGGATGAGGTCCAGTATTCATCCTTTGTCATTGGATAATATTCTTCCGACTAAATAGAACATACCATAAGCGTTGACTGAACAACAATCGTTAACAGAACAAACGAGAGAAGACATCCCGTCCCTTTGCATTTGCCGAAGAAGTAAAGAGCAATTAGTGATTGCGTAGTCTTATTTCAGTGTTTGTTATTTAAAACCCTAGGCACTGATTGGCTAAACGGGCGAAATAAATATTGCGATGTTTTTACTATAATCAAGCCAATATAAGAAGCTGAAAAGCGAACTATGTTCTGCTTTGAAAGTTAATAACCGCCTGCCGCTTATTTTAAGTACTTAAAGCTCCAACTTGCCCCACAGACAGGTCAAACTTTCCATTATCTCTAAAAAGGAAAGGCTGGGAAGAGAACAGTTGCAGAAAATGATGCGTCCGGAATTTTTCCTATTCTTATTCGTTGCATTTTATGTGGGACAGCTAACTGCAGCTTATTTTTATTCACCAGGCAAGTTTAAATCAACATAGATCATCATACTTTTTATT